TGAGTTCCTAGAAACAAAACCGTGAGGGAATGCTAAGCCCAAAGCGGACAATATCGTGCTATGGCGGAATTGAGACTGGGATGTGACATCAGTAGATCTTACACATAGCATTATGCAGGAGTTGGAATTGTCATCATTGATCCAAAGGGAATCCAGCATTGTTATTCATTTCTCCAGGATTACAAAGATACTAGTGTTGCACCCTTAGATACTACTAACAATAAGCAGAGTATGAAGCATTGATTATAGGTTTAGAGATTTTAATAGAGTTGAGGGCAACTGATGTAGAAGTATATGGTGATTCAGAGCTGGTGGTTAATCAATTAAATGGATAGTACAAGTGCAGAAATATCACCATGGCAGGGTATTACTTGGCAGCTACTCAGTTATTAGAGTATTAGGGTAATGAAGTAACAATCAACCATATCCCCAGAGAAGCAAATTTGATTACCAATGAAATGTCACAGAAGGCTTCTGGAGCACAGGTTCAAGAAAGAGGGCTTGAGAAATCTTCCTTCTATATTTGAGAGAGGATTTGGTATGGATATAATGACTAAACAACCCAAGGTAAAGGACTGAAGATCATCTATCATTCAGTACTTAAGAGGCCTTTCTTTTCCTACCAACAAGAAGATTAGACGACAGATAACTAAGTTTGTTATATAGGATAAAACTTTGCTGAGGAAGACTCCAGTTGGACTTTTGTTAAAATGATTGGGTTTGGAAGAGCCAATAAGGGTGATGGCTAAGGTACATTAAGGCATTTGTGGAGCACACCAAATAGGGACAAATATGAGATGGTTGCTAAAAAGATGTGGCTACTTTTGGCCCGACATAGAGAAAGATTGTAAAGCTTATGCTAGAGGATGTGAAGAATGCCAAAGACATGTACCTTTCCAGCACACACCATCAGTGCCCTTAAATCCAATAGTAAAGTCATGGCCTTTCAAAAGGTGTGCAATGGACTTTATCAGGCAAATAAACCCAGCTTCCGGCAAATCACACATTTTCATAATTGTTGCAACTAATTACTTTACTAAGTAGGTTGAGGCTTCAGCTGTGAGGACTAATAATTCAACTACTGTGAAGAAGTTTATTGAAACCAAAATCCTACATAGATATGGGGTGCCTGAAACAATTGTTACAGACAGAGGGCCATCATTTATCTCAAAAGAAGTGGAGGAGTTTGCAGCTAAATTCAAGATAAAGATGATCTAGTCTAGCCCTTATTATCCCAATCTAATGGTCAAGTAGAAGCTAATAACAAGATATTAGTGAATATCATAAAAAAAAAAAAAATTGTGGCAGATAGCCCAAAAATATGGCATAAGATGTTGGGAGATACTTTTTAGGCTAATAGAGCCTTAAAAAGAGCAAGGACTAGGACCATTCCTTATGCATTGACATTCGGGCAAGATGCAGTGCTCCCTATGAAAATCAATGTGAGTTCTGTGTGGCTTCAGAACCAATTTGGCCTACATAGTGATGAGTTCAGTCATGCCATATGTCAAGGCATTGAGGATATAGATGTTACCCGAATTGAAGCTCTAAACAAAATCCAAAAAGGGAAAGAAGAAAAATTGGTATGGAAAACAGTTTTGCCCTTGGGAGCTCAAGTTAGAGGTTTTGAGAAATGGAGTGCCATTTGAGAACGCGTTTTTCCAATTACTATAGTATTAGACAGAGGAGGGTATTACTTGGCAGATTTAGAGAGAGACTTACAGAAACATCCAATCAATGCTAAGTTCCTAAAGAAGTACCACCCAACTCTGTGGGATGTTCAAGACTGTTATATTAGTGAAGTCTAAGTAAAGGCCCTTGTTGTGTGTTTAAGGCAGTTATTGCTATTAGAAAATTGTAAATAAGCAAGTAAAGTAGTAAAGCAAAAAGCGGTCTTTTCAATTCAAATAATTAGAGAAGTACAAAGACCCTAGCCTACCAGGTTTACATCTTTGGCCAAGGTAGCTATCCTAGAATGATAAGTTTGCACAATGGTAAAAATACAACCTGGCTTTTCTAAGGTTGTGTTACTATTGGCTAGCTGAGCCTCAGACTCCTCCACTTCATGGTTAACTTTCTTCACTTCTTTAATTTTCTGGTATAGCTTGCTTGAAAGAGTCATCTGATCAGCCTTCAAAGTAGAAAATTATTCCTTTAGCTTTTAGATCTTAACAGCCATCACCATTATTCGGTCCTTCGTGGCCGAGCCCTTTTCCACTAGCTGCTGTAGAGAAATGAAGGTCCTAATGTGCTTCTCCTTGTAGCACTTTAACTTGTTTGTTTGCCTTTATGCCCTGAGATGTTGATATTGCAACTTCGTTATCCATTGGGCCTAGTATATGTCGGTGAAAGCCCTCTTAGTATCTTGCAAAGCTTAGAGGTTGAAGGAGGTAGTGAAGTCCCTCTGCATCCATTCTCTAAAGATCTGGCACTGATCTTGAAGATGTTGAGGCTCGAATGGGCATCTTGGAGATCTCAATTTTATCCTAATTTGCCTGAACTCTTTGACTAGTTCGGGCAAGGAGGACGTGGCAGGAAGAGAGGCTAAAGGGGGAGGCATCACCCTAGCACCACCAGATGCAGCAGCAGTAGTAGCAGCTTTAACAAAGATAGAAGGGGATGACTCAGTAGTAGTAGCAGCCTTTCTAGGCTAAAGGATGAGGATCCTTATGACTCCAAAAGCCCTTGGAGGTTAAGGAAAGGCTATCCTACTCCTTGTAGGCTAAGGAGGCATGCCCAAACCCTCACCAAAAGCCTATTAAAACCAAAGAAAGCAAGTTAGTAAGGCAACCTGGACCTAAATAAGAAGGGATAAGATTGAAAGCATGTTTATACCTAAGAAAGGCCTTGTACTTTGATAGGATGATCTATTATTGCAGTTGTTTTTAAGGAAGTTGGTTGGCTTGCCCGAGAAGGTACTTGAGAAACCTTGGGACTAGTCATAACTGAGACAACTAGTATCTCAGGGATTATAGGCTCCTTAGCGGCTGAAAGTGGTGGAGTAGTAGTCTCAGGCAAGGGGGAAGACTGGCAAAGACAACAGGCAGAGCATAAGTTCAAAATGAAGGAATATGAAGAAAAGCTAGAAAAGGGTAGAAGAAGGAAGACCTACGGAGGCACTGTCATCCTCTACAAAGTGGAGCATTTATCTAGTTATTGGATTAAACTAGGAAGTGGGTGTCACCACCATTGCTAGAGGAATAGAAGAGGAAGAAAGATTTGATTCTTGCTCGACTTGAGGTGCGGAGGTGCCTCATCTTACTTGGAAAATAGCAGAATTAAAATAAGCATTTAAAGCTTAGAAATACAAAATTAACAAGTGGTGAGAGAGAGAGTTTTACCCTTGAGAAAGATGCACAGGTCGGGCTGGAGATGAATAAGGCTTGGTTTAAGAAGTCCCTTCTGCATTGGTAGCCTGTTTTGGAAAACAACAAGAATTAGCTAAGTATAGGAAAGAGGCAGCAACATAGGTTACCTATGAGTAGAAGTTGATTTTCTGATGTCATCTTTCTAGCTTTCAAACTCTTTTTCCTTAGGAAGGGATTTGAAAAAGACCAGCCCGAAGAGCTTATCATGGGCTTCTCTAAGGTCTTTATGATACTTTTTTTACCACTTGACCTCCCACCAAATGGTAAACAGAGATGTACACTCGAAGTTGAAGGCCAAAGGCTTGTGGGCTATCTTGCTTATCATTTCTGAGCTACGCCTGCTTGCGCGGAATGTAACTTCTAAGGGAGAACAAAGGCGATAGGAGGTCCCACAATGAACAGAATCAAAGAAATGGACTGGCATTGCCTACCTAAATCCCAGTTGTCTACCACTTAGCAGATTGCTACTACAATTCTCTGTCTTCAAATAAACAAGTTAGTAATATATGTTGTGATTCTGTTTATAAACTTCATTTAAACATACATATTGTGATTTAGTTATAGTTCAGTTCAATATCTATATAAACTGTATAATTGTATATATCAAGGTTCTAAAAGACATTAGGCACTAGTTGGCGGCAAATTGGGGCCCAGCCTAGGCAGACTAGGTGGATTTAAGTAAATTTATAACATATCATGTAATTAAGTGTCCATTTATACTTAATATATATATATATATGTATATATATAATTGTATTGGGATACATAAATTGCAAAATAAAAGGATTATAGGTCATAAAATATTAGAATATATTGAAACCATAGGAACAAATAAATAATGAGTGTTCATCCAAGTATTCAATAAGTCTCTTACGTTTTATTGAAAAAAATAAAATGTAAAATGAAAGTTATCGATATTTTGTCTAAATGAGATTCGCGACCTAGACAGGTCTAGGCGGTCTAGGAGGGCTCATACATATATATATATATATATATATATATATATATATATATATATATATATATATATATTATCACCAGTATTTGATTGACTTTAATAATAATTATGGACGGTCTGTGTAGTTTGAGAATGGATTCGTACCGAGTGAGGTTTTATTTTGCTTTGTGCCCTTTCTTGAGGTCGAAGCCGTAAGACACTAGGATATAAAAATGGAATTTATCGGAGAAGAAAGGGAGCAAGGGAAGGAGAACTAATGCAATTATTGCCTTAGTGAATAGTAATTGATTGAATGCATTTCCGTTCGTGAATGAATTGCCACGCAGTTGGTATTAAATATTATTTTAAAAAATAATAAAACGATAATTTTATGTTTAATTTCGGATGTGATTTTTAATCAATCACGTTACGCACATGTCATTATTTGAAATTGCAATTTTTGTAGATAAATTTTCGATAAGATTTTTAACTAATCATGTGGCTCCATGTGTAATGATTTTGTAAGAATTGCGTGGACAAATTTTTGATAAGATTGTTAACCAATCTTGTTGCACCACATGTCACTATCTGTTCAGAATCCTTGTGAACAGATTTTCGATAAAATTTTCAATCAATCACCGCGCGTCACGTGGTATTATCTGCAACCTCATCCAACCTAAAACTCACACACCAAATTCAAAGTCTTTCTTTGAATCCTTCTTCATAGTGTAAAAATCTTGAGTTCTTACAATGTCTTATTCAAGGAGATTGTTAGAAATCAAAAGGAAAGAATGAATTGTTCTAAGAGCAAGAAAATGAGTTATTCGAAATAGAAGAGCGAGAGAATCAAGAGCATAGAATGACATATGATGAAGCAAGAAGGGAGAAAGCTGCACATACCCGTGTCGTGCAAGCTGTGGTGGTAATCTCCAAACCCAGTTGTTCATTGAACCTCAATAAAATAAATAAATAAATAAAAGTATCAATGAGGTAAGGATCTCTTGGAACATAGTCTATATTGATGTGCATTTTAGACGCCGTTCTAGAATGCAACCACATTTGTTCAACAAAATCATGATTGGTAGTTGCAACCATGATCCATACTATGTGCAAAATAAGGATGCTTTTAATGTTAGGGATCTCCTTCTTGAGCAAAAAATTATCAATGCCTTGCAGATGATTGTAGGATCTGCATACCAAGTGGATGAGATAGTGAGGATGGGAAATCAACCTTCCTAGAGTCCCTGATGACGTTTTTGCTCCACAATCCTACTTAGCTACACCAATGAGTACCTTCGGCAACCCACGACAACTGACTCACAAAGGCTTCTGAAGAAAAGTGAGATGCGAGGTTTTCCTGACATGATTGAAAGTATAGACTGGGGTGTAGGAAGGATTTGGAGCGGTATTTTGGTATCTTCCAAGCTCGTTGGGCAATTCTTAGGGGGACTACAAAATTGTTTGATGAATAGGCGCTTCGATCCATCATGATGACGTGCATCATTCTTCACAACATGATTATGGAAGACGAGTATGATTATGATGCCGCTAATGAATTTGAACTACACACAATAAACAATTCCAAACACAAATTTATTGTGCTTCACAAGTGGTGGATTGCTCATGCACATAGACGCATTGCTGTTCTCTCATAGCATGTTTACTAACCAGTAATCGGAATGGGAATAAGGAATCCGATTCTGATTACGGATTATTCCTCTGTTTACCAACTTAAGCTGAATGAACAGTTCTGCGGGCCCCACGTAAAATCAAGAATTCATCTCCTGATATTGTTGGAATTGGATTACCTAGAAGAAGGTAGTATTTGGATTCCGGGGAGAAGGCTCCATCCGGAATCAAATTTTCCTTCCCAAAATGCCCTGCACCTTCAGTACTCATTTCCATCTTCTCTTTGTCCTCTCCCATCCTCTCCATCTTCTCGTTGTCCTCCGCCATCCTCTCCGGCAACTCTTTGTTCCTCCGTCGCCTTCTCTCGCTCCACCTCAAAATCCTCCACGTTCTTCTTCATAGGATTCGGCACAGCAAAATCAACCCAAAAATGGCAAGCATACCCAAAGCAAAAATCAAATCTTCAGAAAATCTGAACCCAGTTGCCACCATTGATAATAATAGAAAATTTTCTCATAAACCAAACAAACCCATTCAGGAAACTTTGCATGCACAATTCCAGTCATCCTAATATAGGAAAATACAGGATTCCCCACAACAGAAAAGCAAGTACTAAAATCGAATCAACAAAAAAAAAATCATTCGCATCAACAATCCCTAAAATCACAAATTTTGCACCAATTCAAACAAAACAAAAAACACCTTAAAAAGCTCGAAACTTTACCAGCACAAGTCTTTTCCTTCATGAGCTTGTAGATAAGAACGGAGATTCCAATCGAGTGCACAGCCTCAGCTGCAACAAAGAGGTTGTCGTGATCGTGGACGATGAATCAGAGCAGAACCAGCGCCGCCATGCCCGAAACGACGGCCAGAAAGGCCTGAACTTTGGACGGCTGGCGTCGCGCCCATGTCCATACGGTGTGGATCGGCCTCTTCGGAGCCCTCATGAGGTTTGGTTTTGTTGTGATTTTCTCGGCCCCTTGGTTTTCCCGGAAAGTTCGATGTGGTGGAGCGGAAGTGAGGTAAAACTAATTATTGTGAGCCGTGGGTTCTAGATAATAAAAGTTTTACTAAAAAATAAAATGGTTCTCTCTTCTTAAAAAAAAAAAGAAAGAATAAAATATTTACTAAAAATAATTAGCATATAAAATAGATAAATTAAACTAGGGGTATTTTAGTAATCACAATAGTTTTCATTCCGATTCATGTGAATTAGTAAACAGTTCAATGTCATTGATACTCCGATTCCAAACAGTTTTAGTAAACAACTTCAAAAGGAATCTGATTCTGATTCCACCTCATTTCAATTCCTCCTCAATTCAATTCCTTTCAATTTGATTACGGATTAGTAAACGTGCCATCAAAGTGCAGGGCGCTGATGGCCTCATGAAACAACACGCGACAAAGCTGTAGGTGGTGGAACCCATCGCTGACGACTTTGTCGACCACCAAGTCAAAGCCTAACAATTATTTTCCAGCCGAACAGCCCACGTGATTGGTCTAGAATTTAAAAACAAAATAAAAAAATCTAGTTTATAAATATATTAAATCCATCAATCGAGATCGAATATGATAAAATCTAATAGTAAAAAAATTATCTAACCGCCCTAAACTAAAATCAACGCCTAAAACAAAAAAAAAATTTATACATCAAAATTCATCTAAAAAATTATTTAAACCAATAGGGCTAAAGCAATTGTTGTAAGATTGGAGCATATTATTACAAGGAAAAACCACACTCCATCGGAAATCATGCACGTGCTCCTCCTCGGTGCAATATATGCTCAACCAAATCCGTTTAGAGTGTGTCATGGCCTGATGGAGGTTGAACCCTATTAAGAGGTCTCATGTACTCGGGTATTATATGTGGTAGCATCTAGACATTCGCATGTGGTAACATCTGCATTGCCATGTTTTGCCTTATTCTATCACCTATCGATGAAGGATGATTGATTTTGAGGGGGCAAAAAAATAATATGAAAGGTGGATGATTGAAGAATATGGTGTGTGTAGGTTTGATTTTCAAGCACTTCTTACATAGAGGAAGATGGTGGTGGTGGGTGGATGTGTTTCAAGTGTTTCCTATTGTTAGAAAGGTTATTCATACGTGTTCCATGACTTTCATGTTTCATGTATTTCACATGCGCATGAAGGGTTTTCCATGTTTATGATCTTTCATTCTTATCGGAATTTAAATATATACAAGTTAAATTGTTTTACAATAATTTAAAAAAAAAGTTACTGAAAAGAAAAAGAATAGGCTAAAATAATTCTTTAATAATCTTGGCCTAAAATTTTAAGCTAAACTCACTGGAGGAGAAACGTTGTTTCTGGGTTAGACCTAAACTGTCTAGACTAAAAATTTAGGTTTTGACCTACACTGTTGCACATGGTCTAATGGGTTATGGTCGTGACTCATGAACTATATTTCTATAATTCCTAAACCACAGTTATATATGTTAAATTTGTGATTTATTTTGTTGAGCCTTGTATTATTACTTATTAAATCATTTTTAGTTGATAATTTGTTTAATTGTTTACGTTAATTTTCTGGCTAATGCTAGGTAGACTAAATTTGCAAACTAAATGATCTGTCACCAATAAAAAATAAGCACGTTAATCAATACTTAAGTAATAATTGAAACATTAATCAAATCATTCACTTTCATGTCATTTAGTTTACAAAATTTTTACACATTTAGTCTCCCTAGTACTATTGTAATTTTCTGAATCTGCCATTGCTCCCTCCGTTTTCTCCAAACAAAAGAGACTAATAATACAATTTTAGTCACATCACTTATTCTGCATAATGTCTTTAGTTACCAGAAAATTTCTCCCACGATACATGACTAATTGCATAAAGTTGATCTTGTTATAAATAGGAAAAAGTGAGAGAGAAATAACCTTTACTAGAAATCAAAGTAGAAGGGTTGCAAAGTATCACCTCTTTATGACCTTTTCATCTAAAATTTTCAATGGTTGTCTCCAAATCAATTTTGCTTTGCTTCCCTTAGATGTTCAAATATCAACATCAATTGCCTCATTAGATGGTCCCAGATCATATGTGTGTCATTTACACAATATTTCACAACACTCCCCTTAGATGCTCACATACCAACATCAATTTCATTAAAACCTCGCTAGGAAAAACCTAGTGGAAAAAAATCGTAGCAAAGGAAAAAGAGTACAATTTTTCTTGGATTATTGATGTAGTGTTTAGTATGCTTATGTTGCCTCGTTATAACCTTGATAGGAAAAACCTAGTGAAAAAAATCCTAGTCAAAGGAAAAAGAGTACAACATGTATGAATCATAGATGCTTCCCCTGATGTGTATCTCCCATTGATTCCGCATTCTTTAATCTAACTAATTAATAAGGCAACGTAATCTGATACCATGCACTAGCTTCTAAAATGTACACTTTGATAGAGATTTGGTGAATAGATCTACCAAATTGTAGTTGGAACAGTTTTGTATGACTTCAATAACTTTAGCATTATGAAGCTCATGTGTATTGAAAAACTTTGGAAATATGTGTTTAGTCTTATCGCCTCTGATGAATCCTTCCTTTATTTGAGCAATACATGTTGCATTATCTTCATGAATGATAGTTGAAATGTCCGTCTTTGAAGGTAGGCCACATGAATTCCGGATGTAATGGATCATTGATCTTAACCAAAAGCATTCACAACTGGCTTCATGGAAAGCAAGTATTTTCAAGTGATTGGAAGATGCAACAGCTAATGTTTACTTCGTTAAGCGCCATAAGATTTTTGTATTTAAGTGAACATATATCTAGTATGTGAGCGGGCTTTATGCGGATGGAGAGAAAACCAGCATCTGCATATCCAACAAGATTATGGCATTTATAGGTTTCTCGGTGTAGAGGTGGCTCATGTTTGTTGTCTCATAGAGGTATCATAAAACATCTTTGATTCCCTTCCAATGTCATATTGTTGGAGTAAAACTATATCTCGCTAACAAGTTGACTTAAAAAGCTATATCTGGTCTAGTACATTGTGCTAAATACAATAAAACACCTATTGCACTCAGATATGGTACTTCTGGACCAAGAACTTTTCCATCATTTTCTTTTGGGAGAAATGGATCTTTCTTAATGTCAAGATATCGAACGACCATTGACGTGCTGTGTGGATAAGCTTTATCCATACCAAATGACTTTAGGACATTTTCAATGTAAGCTGATTGATGGACCAAAATTTGATTAGCACAATGCTCGATCTGCATATCGAGACCATATTTTATTTTCCCAAGGTCTTTCATTTCAAATTTTATTTTCAAATATACAGTAGTTTTGTTGAGCACTTCAAGAGTTCCAACTAAATTCATGTTATCGACATAAACTGCCATTATAGCAAATCTAGAGTTTGATTTCTTAATAAACACACAAGGACGAATGAGATTGTTGGTATATCTTTCCTTGATTAAATACTCACAGAGACAATTATACTACATTCGTCCAAATTGTTTTAGCTCATATAATGATCAACTTAATTTGATTGAGAGGATACCTCTTCGTTTGTTACTCATTTCAGGCAACTTAAGTCCTTTTGGCACTTTCATATAGATGTCAGTATCCAATTATCTATACAGATATTTGTGATGACATCTATAAGTCTCATATCAAGTTTTTTCTAAAATACTAACATTATTAAGTAATGGAACGGGATTGCATCTGTTACAGGAAAGTATGTCTTGTCATGATCAATTCCAGGCTTTGTGAAAAACCTTACGCGACAAGTCGTGCTTTATATCTTACGATCTCATTTCTCTCATTGCAATTTCTTGTGAACACCCATTTGTAACCTACTGAGTTCACGTGAGGCGGGATTTGGAATACTGGTTTAAAAACACTTTGTTTTTCTAAGGAATTTAATTCTGCCTGAATTGCATCTTTCCACTTTGGCCAATTTGTCTCTGTTTGCAGTCATCAACAGAGCGGGGCTCAGTATCATCACTTAATATGATCTTAATGGCTATTGTGAATGAGAATATATCGTCGATGATCATTTCATTTTTATCCCACAATTCACTAGTACATGCTTAATTTATGGATATTTCTTTGCTTTCGTGTACTTTTGTCTCTTTAGGGACATGTTCTCATCAAGGACAATTTCTTTTCTAGAAGTATAGAATCATGAATTGTCGACTCGTCATTCATTTCCTTTTCATGAATGATTTCATTTAGATTCAGATGTGCCTTTATCTTTCTCTTTCGAGGAGTTGAATCTTTTGAACCTGGGGTTTACCACACTTCAGGCATGCAACAAATGAATCATTTGCTTCCACTTTATTATGTCAAACATGGACATCCATTCTGGCAGGCGCATTTGCAGCTGGTACATGTAATTTTGTCACTTTTGTTGCATCATTAAACACATCTAACATTTGATTGGCAGTACTTTGAAGTTGAACGATTCTTCTCATTTCATTTTCACATTGAGTGCTTCGTGGATCAAAATGAGATAAGATGGATATATCACAAATCAATTCTCTCCATTCTTCTAGAATGGTGTTTGCTCCCCTAATGGCAGGAGAACTGTCTTATCAAAGTGACAATCCGCTAATGAGTGGTAAAAATATCACCCGTCAAGGGTTCCAAATATCTAATGCTAGATGGTGAATCAAAACCCACATAAATGCCAAGTCTGCGCTAAGGTCCCATTTTAGTACATTGTGGTGATGCAATAGGCACATAAATAGCATAACTAAAAACTTGTAAAAATGTGAGATGTTTGGTTGATGCCCAAACACAAGTTGTACTGAGGAGTATTGATTGTTGACAAGTCTCAGTCGAACCAATGATCCAGTATGTAAGATGGCAATGTCTACAGATACTTGAAATTTTTGTTTTCATAAATTGAGCGGGAGTTATTAGTTGAAGTTGTTTGATAATGCTTCTGCTAAGCCATTGTAAGTATGCACATGATGAACAAGGTGTTCAACATCAATGCCTAATGTCATGCAATAATCATCAAAAGTTAGAGACATAAATTCACCAGCATTATCAAGTCAAATTGTCTTAATAAGATGATCTGGGAACTGTGCTCATAATTTAATTATCTGAGCAAGAAGTCTCACAAAAGTTATATTTTGAATAGACAAGAGGCAGACATGTGACCATCGCGTATATGCATCAACCAAAACCATAAAATATCGAAATACAAGGTGGTTGAATAGGCCCCACAAATATCTCTTTGAATTATTTGCAAAAGTGATGGGGATCAGGATCAATCTTTGATTGTAATGGTCTATTACCAATTTTCCTTGAGAACAAGCCTTGCAAGGATTATCATTTGATATAGCAATATGGTATCCTACGTATCATGGTGGATCCTAGATGACTCGGATGGTCATGCCAAAGCATGTAAATTTTTGAATCAATAAACTTCTGGTCCATGATATTATGTGCTTCAATTGTCCTTATGTATGTATAATGCAATCCACTCAATAAACCATGCAACTTTTCCAATTTACACTTAAGGGTATCACTGGAGATAATTCGTATATATTCCACATTATCAGCATTTTCGTTTCAATGTAGTATCCATTCAAGCGTATATCTTTAAAACTCAACAAATTTCTTGTAGACCGAGTAGCGTATAATGCATTTTGTATGGACAATATTGTTCAATTTGGTAACACGACCAGGGCTTTTCAGAGACTTCAATTACATCTGATTGACTAGATAATGTTGTTACTTTTTCTTTTGCATGAATTATGCTTGTGAAATATTTTTGATTCGAAGTATTGTATGCGTGGTTGCGCAATTTGCGAGACAAATATCTTCACCATCTTTCTTGTTTTAAGGACAACCATAATTTTTATCCATGCTTTATGAGTAATTTTTGCGAGACAATTTATTCATAATAAAAGGAAATTGCAATGTTACTTTTATTGAATTCAAATACAAGCTTTAAAAGACAAGTTCAGAACAAGAGTACATTAAACATAAAAAGTGATTTACTCGAATTGATATACTCTCCTCTTTCTGCAACAAAGTTTGAAACATCTAAATGGGCTGTGTTTATTTGACTTGATAAATCAAACACTGGATCATATAGATCCATTGGATCAGCCTGGTTGATGAAATTAGTCTCGACATTCTTTCCTTTGAGGGAAGCTTGATAGAGATTGATGAGATATTTGGGGGTACGACTAGGGCTGGAAAAAATTCCTGAAAATCCCGAACCGAATCGAAAAAATCCTGATCCCAAACCGAAAATTCCCGAACCGATTCTGAAAATCCGGAATCAATCTCGAATCATTTGGTATGAGATTCGGGATTGCTCATTCTAAGTTTGGGAATCCCGAAAATCCTGAAAATATATATTATTATCTATATATATTTAATTATATTTAGAATAATTGCAAGTTTGCAACCATTGGAATGAAGTTCATTAGTCGCTTGGTTACTACGTTATTTGTTTCAAAAACCTATTGGTGTCCAAAAAAGAATAATTGTTTTTATTAAGAAATCACCAAGCCCTTTGTGGTAGTTTTATATATGAGTTAACAGTTTTTTCTTTTAATTAAATTGATGGGCGTCCATAGACGAAACTTAAATGTATAAATAACCACTTGAAAAAAATATCGGTGCTAGTTCATGTTCAATAGTACCAGCTGGCTACGTTGTGTTATTTGATGAAGGAGCGAGGTTTGTTGTGGATTAATTGAATGTGGGAGTTGGTGAGAATTAGGATATTTGAAATGAGTTTTTGTGACGAATGGACAGACAAACACCCACCTACTGTTGTATTCTCCTCCTTGTTCTTGCTCATACATTCATATAAAGTGGATAATAAAAAAATAATTTATTGTACTAACTCCTTTTTTTTTTTTTTCAAATATTGTACCGACTCTTTAATTATTGAATTTATATATGCTAGGCAAAATCACTTTTGATAATTCCCTCCATCATCTGTGATTATTTTACTTTAGCCTTTTTTTAAAGATTTTTTTATACAATCATATTCTACTCTAAGGAGAGGAGAGGTTAGATGAGGCCACATAATGAGTCAGTTACTAATTAGGTATCGAACTCACCACAAATATAATACGTTCTTGTTATTCATATAAGTTGAAACTGAGACTTCTTACTTAGAAGTGAAGAGAAATAACATTAACTGTAGTACTAGTCGGTTGCTTTTGTAGTTATATAGTAGTTGAAATTAACAAATTTCGCGTCGTCTATGGACCATCAATATTCTAGACATGGTGAGAAGATTGTGTCTGAATTTTCTTCTCGTTTTTAATTCCACTGTTACCAATTGTATAAGAAAATGTTAAATGATTAGTACGGCTTTAACATTTAACAACGCGTCCTTCATTCTCTTGTTTGTGATTAATACTACTTGAAACTGAAACTCTTGTATTATGCACCCTAGAAAAGAATCTAACTTTTGTTTAATTGGACAAAAAAATTAACAGTAATGTTAGGTAGATCAACTTTTTAAATCACATTTGCAAACCGAGTAAAATGGTTGACCAAAATTTTTAGACTAAATTTTAAACCATGTGATGTGTTACCAATAGAAAATAAGTATGTTAGTCAACATTTAAGTAATAATCCAATTTTCAATAATCAAATCATATGATTTACATAATTTGGTCTAAACAGTAGGTATTCCCAGCATTACCCAATAAAAATAAATACATTAATAGATACTTAATAATAATTCAACTATCAATAACCACCTTATATAAATTATTAAATATAGCTTAAAATAGATGATCTTCTAACATTACTCATTGATTAAACACACAAACAAATATAACATAATTTGGAAGTGAGGACCACAAATTGAATTGTTCTGAAAAGATTGACAAACAAACAAACTGAATAAATGGATATTTTGTTAAATATTTGTATAGTTTATTTTGTCCTACAGTACTATTTGTGAAAGAAAAATGCGTACTTTTATTTATCAATACTAGGCACACACAAAGTGTGTGAGAAATGTTTATTTTTGTTTTTGAAATAGGAGAGAGAAATAGAGTGATAGAAAATGTGGGAGTGAGAAGTTTTATTTTTTATTTTTTTTAATTAGAGATATGTTAGGATTACATGTAGGTGAGACTTTGAAAAAAACAGTAAAATTTGGTTGTGTGAAATTACATTTTTGCCCCATATTTCTTATTCATGTTTTGTTTTAATTAGAGAGTTAAACTAGTAATTTCATAGGGTTTTGGTTAACAATGAGTGTTTTATTAATTAGTAGAGATTTTTGTTTTTGAAATAGAAGGAGAGAGCAAGAGAGTGATAGAGAATGCGGGAGTGGGAAATTTTTTTTTTTATTTATTTATTTATTTATTTTAATTAGAGATATGTTTGGATTGTATGTATGTGAGACTTTGAAAAAAAACAGCAAAATTTGGTTGTGTGAAATTACATTTATGCCCCATTTTTCTTATTCATGTTCTGTTTTAATTAAATGGTCAAACTGGTAATTTCATAAGGTTTTGATTAACAATGAATGTTTTATTAATTAGTAAAGATATATATATTATAAAATATTTTCTTCTCGGAAAATATGATACATCAATTATAGTGAACATAATTGAGAGGACCACACACACTTTACCTAATCATGAACTATTGATTTGCACGCAACATCGCATACGAACTTAATTGATTATATAATGTGAATATTATTTGTACATAAATGTAGAACTCACATATGTTAAAAGGTGGTCAACAATGTAACAGTAAACGTAGTTCAAATAACAACACTGTGGATGTGGTCCTAGAGAAAAACTTAACAACTATCACAAATGTTACACTTATTCTACGAATGAAAGAATCAACGGATGAACCTATTATATGAAATTTTAATCAAAGTCTTTCTTTCCCTGAAATTGTTGAAAGATCTGTTGAAATTAATACCTGTAAAATGGGGTTAAGGTTTTCGAAAGGAGGGAAGCCAAAATTTTCCAGGATTTGTCTGAAATTTAAGAGATACTTAGGCAATATCAACAGCTTTGGCTAATCGGCAATGGTTGGACCAGAATATCTAAACGCAAGTGCATGCAATTTCTTTAAAGATATGTTCCTTAGGGAGAGAACTTTTAACATTTTAAGTTTTTGTTGGATGTGAGATTATACGGTTTAAGATATGATGGTTCTATGGTGTTTCAAATAGTTTCATAACTTCATAATTTAGTCTGTAACTTCCTTCAGATATTCCCTTATTATATTATGCATCTTCTTTTGTCAGCGTCACTATTCTCACATTTCCCTCCTTTCACTCCATCATCTAAATTGTATAAATAGGCCCAGTCGAGATTTCGATCTTCATCTAAAACTCAACGAAGCTGCCTGTTTCCTCCTCTCCATCAACCAAATTAAAACAGCATATATATACACAATGGCATCAGAAACCCCACTCGGACTTCCCATCATAGACTTCTCCAAACCAGACCTCAACCAAGGAACCAAAGAGTGGGACTTAGTGAGAGCTCAAGTCCATAATGCGCTCGAAGAGTATGGCTGCTTCGAGGCCTTGTTCAACAAAGTGCCTTCTGACATTCGAAAGTCAACAATTGAATCAATGGAAGAACTTTTCGACCTTCCTTTACAAACCAAATTACAGAATGTTTCTAAAAAGCCCTACCATGGGTATGTTGGGCAGTACCCCATGGTGCCACTATACGAGAGCATGGGGTTTGACGATGCAATGTCTATGAACAAGTTGAAAGCTTGACAAATACCTTGTGGCCTCAAGGAAACCCGAGATTTTGGTTCATAGCATTAATCCTTTCTCCTAATTTTTTAATATTTTCGTACTCATATATGCACATTAATAATTCATAGTTTATGTGTTATTATCTTATCAAACAATCTAACATGTTATTTTGCCAAAATGTCAATCTGATCGGACAGATTTACATAAATATGTTTTTCAGATTAACATTCTATTAACCTAATGACATATCTCAGACAACCAGCAACAGACTGTTACCCTTTATTTCATAATCAAATATTCGGAGTTCGTAATTTTTGTTTTTGGGTGGCAGCACAAGCATACAATCATTCTCAGAGCAAGTTTCGGAGTTGGATCAAATAATCAGAAGGATGATTCTGGAGAGCTTGGGACTAGAAAAATACTTTGAGGAGCATGTAGAATCAACCAACTACCTTCTTCGAGTGATGAAATATAAAGGACCTGAAACCAAGGAAAGTAAGTTGGGGATAAACGCTCACACAGACAAGAACATTGTCACCATTTTGTATCAAAACCAAGTTGATGGTTTAGAAGTGCAAACAAAAGCTTGCAAATGGATCAAAGTCAAGCCTTCATCACCGCACTCTTTCATCGCCATGATTGGCGACTCTCTTCATGTGAGTTGATTCCTGCTCATTCGATTTACGTACTAACGGTCGTGAAAGAATCAAAGAAATCAAAATTAACATTGTGCTGATGATTTTGTAGGCATGGACAAACGGTCGACTACATTCTCCATATCATAGAGTGATGATGAGTGGAAATGAGGCTAGGTACTCAACTGGATTGTTCTCCATCCCAAAGGCAGGTTATATTATAAAAGCCCCGGAGGAAGTTGTGGATGAAGAGCACCCTTTGCTTTTTAAGCCCTTTGATCACGTTGAATTTCTAGGGTTCTACTACACGGAGGCTGGCCAGAGAGCTCAGTCTGCTTTGAAAACTTACTGTGGAGTCCAAGACTTGGTTTTGTCTGCTTAGCAAATTACGATTTTGTAAAATAAATCTATTCCTTTGTGTAAAATAAATCTATATGAACTACGTACCAGTGTAGTTAAATAAATCTAGCGGATCCAAAATTTTAAACTCGAGAGGTCCCAATAATAAAGTTAAAAAAATTTATAGATAAAAATAACATTTAAAAGTTAAATTATAATACATTTCATTCATGAATCATACGCAAACAACATTACAAGCTATAAAATTCTAATTCAAGCGTCTATGACGATGTTTCATAATCTAAAAATGTTCCATTGCAAATATGCTCTTTAGCTTGAAAAACCTTTCCATATTTCTTATCTCTACACTACACATCAACAAAAAAAACAAAAAAAACATATACCAATTAATCAGTAAACAAAATTCCAATAATTAAATGAGTAGACAAACATAAAACATATTTATAATCATATCAATAATAGATTATAAATCTCCATCAATAAATAATATAATTTAGTTGAGATTAGATTAGATTATATTGGAATACAAAAAAATCTTATTTGAATCTTGAACCAAATGGTGGTGGCGTGGATATTTCAAACAAAATGAGATTTGATATTCGAGTAAAATTAAAATATGAGTTTGAGTGGGATTTTAGGATTCTGAGAATTGGGAAATTGAGGATTGGATATGTGAAATGGGGGGTTTAGGTTTTGGATGGGGGAAGGGATGAGTAAGGTATGGGGATTCGGGAAGAGTGACGGGGGTCTTGGGTAGGCCTGGCAAACGGGTCGTGTCAGTCGTGTTCGTGTCGTTTTCGTGTAATACCTGTTATCTTAACGGGTCGTGTCGTGTCACACTCGTTATCTTAACGGGTCCTTAACAGGTTGTGTCACTTTACCCAACGGGTAAAGTGACCCGACCCGTTATGACCCGTTATGACCCGTTAAGAAAAAATATATTTTTTTTCTTAAATTTGCACATACCACACATTGCCACATAAATATTACTTCAAAACATTAAAACACATTTGTCGTTTAAGTACTACATCTACACTTGAAAATAAGAGCCTAATAAAAAAATAATACATACACTACTAATCTATTACAAATTTTAAATGTGCAAGGATATGCAAAATGAAACAGTTTTTGTTTTCAAGGTTATGAAATCATTCTCAAAAGTTTAAACCTCAATTTACAAAATCCTCGATTTACATCGATCATCATGAAATTGCATTGGAACTTTGGCTTGATCTATTGCCTTCAAGAGTTATGTTGATGATGTTTTCAGTAAGGTTTTCCACGTCATAACTATCTTCTGCATAAACTAAGCATAGAAAAACCAAACATTAAAAATCATTCAAAATTATGAGAAGTTTACCAAAATAATTATGAAAAAAAATAAAACAATAGTACTATACCATACTTTTATTAAGTATAAACATAAGATTTTGTGGTATCCACTAGTGTAAATATTTTAAATTGAAGATCGAATTCAATCATTGTATTCATATAAGGTCAAGGAGTGTAGTTGTAAAAAATCATCAAAATCGGAGTTAAATTAACTGTTAAATCGTGATTTTTCGTTTATAACCGTCGAAACGTTTTGTCCCGTTACGTGCTCTCTGAATGTTTGTTTTTTGCAATTTTTGGCGTATGCGATCTCGAAATATATACAAACATGTTTAACGATTGGATCATTGAAACTAGTTTCGTAGAATGAGTATCCCATCAAAACAATAGATTCACTAATACTTAAGAGTTTATTCATACTTTTATTAAGTATAACATAAGATTTTGTGGTTTCCACTAGAGTAAATATTTTAAATTGAAGATCGAATTCAATCATTGTATTCATATAGGGTCAAGGAGTGTAGTTGTAAAAAAATCATCAAAATCAGAGTTAAAATGACCGTTAAATCGTGATTTTTCGTTTATAACCGTCGAAAAGTTTTGTCCCGTTACTTAATCTCTGAATGTTTGTTTTTTGCAATTTTTGGCGTATGCAATCTCGAAGTATATACAAACATGTTTGACGGTTGGATCATTGAAACTAGTTTTGTAGAATGAGTATCCCATCAAAACAATAAATTCACTAATACTTAAGAGTTTATTCATACTTTTATTAAGTATAATATAAGATTTTGTGGTATCCACTAGTGTAAATATTTTAAATTGAAGATCGAATTCAATCATTGTATTCATATAGGATCAAGGAGTGTGGTTGTAAAAAAACATCAAAATCGGAGTTAAAATGACCGTTAAATCGTGATTTTTCGTTTATAACCGTCGAAAAGTTTTGTCCCGTTACTTGATCTCTGAATGTTTGTTTTTTGTAATTTTTTATGTATGCGATCTTGAAGTATATACAAACATGTTTGACGGTTGGATCTTTGAAACTAGTTTCGTAGAATGAGTATCCCATCAAAACAATAGATTCACTAATACGTAATAGTTTATTCATACTTTTATTAAGTATAATATAAGATTTTGTGGTTTCCACTAGTGTAAATATTTTAAATTGAAGATCGAATTCAATCATTGTATTCATATAAGGTGAAGGAGTGTAGCTGCAAAAAATCATCAAAATCAGAGTTAAAATGACCGTTAAATCGTGATTTTTCTTTTTATAACCGTCAAAAAGTTTTGTCTCGTTAATTGATCTCTGAATGTTTGTTTTTTGTAATTTTTGACGTATGCGATCTCGAAGTATATACAAACATGTTTGACGGTTGGATCTTTGAAACTAGTTTCGTAGAATGAGTATCCCATCAAAACAATAGATTCACTAATACTTAATAGTTTATTCATACTTTTATTAAGTATAACATAAGATTTTGTGGTATCCACTAGTGTAAATATTTTAAATTGAAGATCGAATTCAATCATTGTATTCATATAAGGTCAAGGAGTGTAGTTGTAAAAAATCATCAAAATCGGAGTTAAATTAACCGTTAAATCGTGATTTTTCGTTTATAACCGTCGAAAAGTTTTGTCCTGTTACTTGATCTCTGAATGTTTGGTTTTTGCAATTTTTGGTGTATGTGATCTCGAAATATATAAAAATATGTTTGACGGTTGGATCATTGAAACTAGTTTCATAGAATGAGTATCACATCAAAACAATAGATTCACTAATACTTAAGAGTTTATTCATACTTTTATTAAGTATAACATAAGATTTTGTGGTATCCACTAGTGTAAATATTTTAAATTGAAGATCGAATTTAATCATTGTATTCATATAGGGTCAAGGAGTGTAGTTGTAAAAAATCATCAAAATTGGAGTTAAAATGACCGTTAAATCGTGATTTTTCGTTTATAACCGTCGAAAAGTTTTGTCCCGTAACTTGATCTCTAAATGTTTTTTTTTGCAATTTTTGGTGTATGCGATCTCGAAGTATATATAAACATGTTTGACGGTTGGATCATTGAAACTAGTTTCGTAGAATGAGTATCCCATCAAAACAATAGATTCACTAGTACTTAATAGTTTATTCATACTTTAATTAAGTATAATATAAGATTTTGTGGTATCCACTAGTGTAAATATTTTAAATTGAAGATCGAATTCAATCATTGTATTCATATAAGGTCAAGGAGTGTAGCTGCAAAAAATCATCAAAATCAGAGTTAAAATGACCGTTAAATCGTGATTTTTCTTTTTATAACCGTCGAAAAGTTTTGTCCCGTTAATTGATCTCTGAATGTTTGTTTTTTGTAATTTTTGACACATGCGATCTCGAAGTATATACAAACATGTTTGACGGTTGGATCTTTGAAACTAGTTTCGTAGAATGAGTATCCCATCAAAACAATAGATTCACTAATACTTAATAGTTTATTCATACTTTTATTAAGTATAACATAAGATTTTGTGGTATCCACTAGTGTAAATATTTTAAATTGAAGATCAAATTCATTACTTGTATTCATATAGGGTCAAGGAGTGTAGTTGTAAAAAATCATCAAAATCGGAGTTAAAATAACCGTTAAATCGTGATTTTTTGTTTATAACCGTCGAAAACTTTTGTCCCATTACTTGATCTCTGAATGTTTGTTTTTTGCAATTTTTGGCGTATACGATCTCGAAGTATATACAAACATGTTTGACGGTTGGATCATTGAAACTAGTTTTGTAGAATGAGTATCCCATCAAAACAATAAATTCACTAATACTTAAGAGTTTATTCATACTTTTATTAAGTATAATATAAGATTTTGTGGTATCCACTTGTGTAAATATTTTAAATTGAAGATCGAATTCAATCATTGTATTCATATAGGGTCAAGGAGTGTGGTTGTAAAAAATCATCAAAATCGGAGTTAAAATGACCGTTAAATCGTGATTTTTCGTTTATAACCGTCGAAAAGTTTTGTCCTGTTACTTGCTCTCTGAATGTTTGTTTTTTGTAATTTTTGGCGTATGCGATCTCGAAGTTTATACAAACATGTTTGACGGTTGGATCGTTGAAATTAGTTTCGTATAATTCGTATCCCATGAAGTTCAATGGTGTGTGTGTGTATATATATTTATTTATTAAGTAGATTTAAATCTATTTATTTTGTATGTATAATTATTATAGTTTTTAGGGGTATAAAATTTAATATATATATATATATATATAATTATTATAGTTAATATTTTGGGTATAATTATTATAATAATTATAGTTAATTTAATATATATATATATATATATATAATTATTATAGTTTTTAGGGGTATAAAATTGTTAAATTAATATATATATAATTATTATAGTATTTTTTTAGGGTTATAAATTATTAAATTAATATTCTGCTTATCGTGTATTGTGTTACCCACGTGTATACCCGAACAAACCCGTTATCTTAACAGGTGCTTATCGGGTTACCCGATAACGACCCGTTTCGTTATCGTGTCGACCCGAACACCTGTTAATTTCGTGTCGTGTCGTGTCGGGTTATCGGGTCGTGTCAGGAATTGCCAGGCCTAGTCTTGGGGACTTAAAACAAAAAGGAAGCAATGGCAGCATTTTGCCATTGTCTAATTATTTTATTTTATTTTTTTTAAAAAAGGTTTTAATCAGTTGGCTAAAACATGCGTTTTGGGCCAAGGCTAAAAAGGGAAAAAATTTCTTTCTTTCTCCGTGCGTTCGTCTTCCCCTT